TAATTGATACTTTACCATTAAGGTTCAGTCTATTTAAGTGCAGTATTCACTTTTTTTTTGTTTTTAGAGATAATGTTACTCTGCATTTCTGTAGTTCAAAATTCATGAAATCCTTTTAAAACTTTTGTTAATGGCTCCATTTTATTTTCATGGATGATTTTTCATTTCAAAGCAATGTGTACTGTACAACTCTCTTAGTTGCAAGGATCTGACACCTAACTCAAGCTTGCTTGGGCGTGAAAGGCAGTGGCTTGGTTCATAGTCTAGGTGGGTTGGTAGATGGACATCAGTCCAACATGGCTGGATGCAGGGGCTCAACACCGTCAGGGCTGTGTCTCTCCATGTCCCAGCTGTCCTGGTTTCTGTGTGGTCCCATTCTCAGGCTGACCTTCCCGTGGAAGGTCAGAGCACTGGACTCACATCACCCCAGTCTTGCAACCCCATGTGCTGATCTCCAGAAGAATCCATTTGGCCAGAAGAGTCTTTCTTCTGACCCATTGCTTTTGGACAGGGACATAAGGCACTCAGATGTTCAGCCTGTGTCACAAATTCTTTGTACCACACTGTCAGAGGGTAAGAAATTGTAACCGACAACCTCATTCCACAAAGTAGCATATCGCAGTACAGAAGTTTCCCCAAGGAAGGGGGGCAGAAGAGTGTTCTCATCAGAAACAGCCATAACTGTTACATTTTTTACCACCAAAAATTTCCAAGAACACCGCAGAGTGACGTAAAGTGTTAATTTGTCATAAAAAATATGTAGTCTTATGGATTCAATGATGCATCAAGTAATCCACATTTTACTTCCCTCTTTCACCTTTATGCTTTCAAAGTGGGCAAAAGGGACAAAACCATCAAAAGAAAAAGAATGTCTTTTAAAGGAATCACTTTCTCTGTTTGACTTCGACTGTTGTCTTAGCCTCTCTCTGGCTCTCCTACAGAACTTCTCGCACAGATATGTAGTTATCCTTTGACTTCCAGTCTCCACCAGCTGTGAGAGACCCGTTTACGCAGACACTAATGTTTTATTTCTGTTCCAGCTGTGCTCACCACTGTCCTGGGCCCAGCGTGGCTGTTCAGGGCAGGCGTATGGACGGGATGGGTGGGCGGGCACGTGGCGTGTGCCCGTCTGGCTGGAGAAGCGTCGGGAAGCTGAGGTTGCACAACACAGTGTGTTGAAGCTGGAATTTGAACTTTGTTATCTTCCTAGCCCCAATTTAGGCATTTTGGTTTTTTTCTCTTTATCTATTTCTTTAACCTGGCTCCCAGCCAAGCAATCAAGGAGGCAGTGTGTGTGCCAGTGCCCGACTTTCAGTCTCCAGGTGTGCGGAGTGACTAAATCAACAGCTGTGGCATTCGGTTCTACAGCGGGGACAGGAGGGCAATCTGAGACTGTCCGGGCAGTGTGGCTGTCCCACCCTCCTGAGAGGAGGTTCCACTTCTAGTGTCGTCCTCAGGAACTTGCTATGTGGCAGGAGTCCGATGGAGATGATCTGCGCTTTCGTGCACCTCTCGTAGAGCCCGAACAGCATGGCAGGTGGGGGAGACGCCCCCACTCGCTTCTACGTTGGCTTCCGAGCTCTTGGCCCCTTTATCGTCCTCCTCCATCCGTCCTAGTTTCTGCCCAATGGAGGCAAAACAACTTCGGCTCTCACTCTCAGTGATCTACTCTCCCCTCTTGGCAGCTGCAAACCCCACACCCTCCCTTGGACTGGAATTAATTAGGAACAAAGACACACACTTCCAGATTAATATGAAAGCTTACCCTTACTTTTCTTTTTAAATACAAATCAATACTCTCTGGAAAATGGAAGATCAAGTCTCCCCTCCCATTAAAAAAAGAAAAAAAAAAAAGTTGACCTCAGAGCTGGCAATTTTGTATTCTAAAAGGTGGCTGTATCAATGGAGGCTTAGCCAGAAAGACAGAACTAGTAGGACATCTGTAATCAAAGATCTATTTAAGGAATTGGCTTATGCAATTGTGCGGGCTGACTAGGAAAGTCTGAAATAATAAGGCAGATCGTCAGAAAGGGCAGGCTGGAGCTCCTAGTCCTGGGTGGAAGCTGACAACCACAGGAGGAATATCTTCTTCTTCTTCAGAGAAGCCCGAACTCACCTCTTGAGTAAGATCTTCCAACTAATTGAATCAAGCTCACCCAGATGATCTCAGATAATCCCTCTTACCTCAAATCAACTGATTATGGACTTTAATCACATCTACAAAACACCTTTACAGCAACACATAGATTAGCGTTTGGTTGAATAGCTGGGCATGGTCGTCTAGCCAAGAGGACACATAAACTGACCACCAGAGTGGCCTGTTAGAGTTGTAATAGACATTTTGTGGACTTGCAACATACAAGCTTTGTCCACCTACAAATTCCAAAACCTTGATGGCCTTTATACTAAACTGTATAGATTTTTTAAAGAATTGTTTTTGGTGATTTATGCTTAGGTGAATGTACTTGTGCACGCATATTATTGTTTCCTTCTTTTAGTCCTGTGTTTGTTTCATGAACCATTGAGAGTCTAGTAAGGTCCACTTGGATGAGGTAGTGAGAAGGTTTAGTCTATGAACCCTGATTTAGAGATGATTATTTTTATATTTATAGTTCATATTTTTCTTTCATTACTAACTTCATTACCTTCCACAGATATTCATCAGATCTCTGTAATGTGCCAGAAACCGTTTTAGGCCCTTGGGATGTTTCACTGAATACAATGGTTTCTACTGTTATGACATTTATATTCTAGTGAGAGACAATAAGATAAGTAAAAAACAACTGTATTTTTTATAGTAGTTGTAAGTAGGGATAAGTGATATGAATAACAAAGCAGAGGAAGGGACTAGACAGTGATGAGTGTGTGTGTGTGCAGAGCTGGCTACACAACTGGTGGGGCCCAGTGCAAAATGAAAAGGCAGCGTTCCCTATTCAAAAAGCAGAAGAAAAGTGCCATTAAAGGTATTAAAACATAAAGCCTTTTCATTTTTCTTCTCGAATTTCTTTCTGGAAGAGTCACGGTGTTTTAAAAATTATTATTATTTGCTATTGAATGCTGTTCTAAGTAAAGAAAAATTAAAAATTTAGATTACGAGCTGGTATTTATATTGTGCAGTGCCCACTTTAAATGCAAATGTAAGAGTAGGATCATTGAAATTACACGATTTGCATTTTCTAGCTCATACTGTATTTTGTTTTTATCAGAGCAGTGAAAGCCCCGCACGAATGAGCTTACCTGGTATTCTTTCACTTCTTGATACATATGTGTTCTACCAGCACTTCTTGTTCAGCTTACTGGTGAGTGAGGAAGGGCTGAAGGAGGAGGAGCTGTGCTTGCCCTAGCTTTCCCTTTCCTTCTAGGTCATCATTTTCCGTGTAAGTGGTTGTCTAATATAGGGAAATAATACAAGTGGGGAAGGCTATGATAGGATTCCTCGATCATCCATGTTTCATAGAACACAACTGACTTCTTTCTGCATTTGAAGCACGTCATTGTTCCAAAGCGTGACCTCTTGGGTCTGGGTGTGCCCCTGCTTACTGAGTCTTAGGCTTAACATGCTCACCTTGTCCTCACTTTGACTCTTGCTGAGTTCCTGTGGGTCATGGATCCATCAGAATTCTGTGCTCCCGGGCATCACTGAGGCTCTGTGAAAATGGGTGGAGAGGATGCGGGATGCACCTATTGTGTGTATCTCCTCGACTCTTACATGTGCTCCACTGTCCCATCACACTTTACTTACAAAACACAGGTTCAAGGATAAAATGATTAAGAATTTCAAGATGGGGACATAAAACCAAAGGCTTTCAACCAAGCATGAAGCCCTTCTGAGTGTCGGTCTCTCTTGAGTGTGGGGCCTTGTGTGATTGCACGGGTTGCATGCCCATGAAGCCAGGCGTGTGTCTGTGCATGTTTGCATGTATATGTGTGCATGTATGTGCTGGGGTAGATATTGATGAGACAGGACTGTCTCATGAAGTGACATTTGATCAGTGTCCTCGAGAAGGCAAAGAAGCAAGTCTTGCAGAACCCCAGGGCAGAGGCCCCCAGGCACATGCAACCTTGGCTCATTCTCAGAAGAATAAGGAGGCTAGTGTGGCTGGATCCTTAAGTGAGAGGGTGAGGGGTAGGGGATGAAATCCAAGAGGCATGAATGGCCTCAAAGGCCAAGGTCAGGTTGTTTTCTATGAGGAGATAAGAAGACTTGGGAGAGTTTAAGCGGAGATGTAGCATGGTACGATTAGATTTTACAAGGATCTCTCTAGCTGCTGTGTGGGAATACTCTGTCTGGAGACAAGGTTGGAAGTGATAGGACCAGTTTGGATATTGTCATAACAGACCGAGCAAACAGGGGGTCTTGGACTGGGTGGTATAGATAGCAGTGATGAAATGTGGTTGGATTCTGGGCATCTTTCAAGACTGGTGCCAACACGAGTTGCACATAGAAAGGATATTTACCTAGAGTCCTGGCCTGAGACAGCAGATAAAAATGGCCCATGGAGAAGTAGTGAATTTCCCAAGGTTCTACAGCCAGTGCAGGGAAGAGCCAAGGAAATGCAGAGAACAGAACTCTTTTTCATCTGTTCTACTCCTTCCACAATATGTTTTCCCAAAATAGCTCCTATAACATTCTCTTCCAAACATCTTCACTTGTGTGGCTGAATCCGCTTAGATTACATTGTCATGATTTCATCTGTATATAGCACCTTGGAAAAGCTGCTTAGAACATAGGTCCTGGGTGAGCTGACTTTACTTACCACTAACCCATATTTTCATGGTCCCTGCTTATGGATTGACTGTCTCCCAGTTTCATTTAGTAGCATCCTAACTGACAGGTGTCCTCCAAACCCCCATGTTACTAAATGCCTCTTGGCCTCCCCTACTAAAACAGAGTTAATAAACAAAGATTTTTGTTACTGGGTTTGATGTACAATTGCACCATATATAAGTGCAAAAGATTTAACTAACTACAATTGACTTTTTTTTTTTTGGCTTTTCAGCACTTTCAGACCATGCTGAAGTCTAAATTAAATGTCCTAACACTGAAAAAGGAACCTCTCCCAGCCGTCATCTTCCACGAGCCGGAGGCCATTGAGCTCTGCACTACCACCCCGCTGATGAAGACGAGGACCCACAGTGGCTGCAAGGTATGGGGCGCGTGGCCAGCAGGGACTCTCGGGGTGGGACAGGCTAAAGGATATGTAGCCTTGAGACCCGTGTTTTACAACGGTAACCATTTTTAAGGATGAAAATATAAAATGACTAACAAAATAAGCTCACTGAGTGATAATAGTCTGAATTCATATCCTGTTTTATTTTCCTTAATGATGCAGCGTTCTCTATCCTTTGGGGGCACACATTAAAGACATAGGTTTTAGTATATGTGAATAAAATAGTATTCTCTTTGTATTTTCTGTAGCTCTGTGGAGCTTCAGGTATCACAAGGAAAATTTTATCTTTAATGACAATTCCTCCCTTTGTACTTTCAATCTGCATAAAACATACCTTAGAGAATGAAAAACAAAAAACAAGTTTTCCAACACTTGTACTCTCCGAGTCCTTTGGGGGTAATTTTGCATTTTTGCTTTGCTTCAGCTCTCAAAGTTTGTACTAATGCCTCAGAATCCATAAAAAAAGTGTTTTTCATTTATGCAAACTGGAATGCCGACATGGAAACAAAACTAGAAATGAAATGTATAATTTTGGTAAGATTCTGGATTGTTTCTCACATGGTGTTCTTTGTTGGTTGAGCTGATGAATATAGTAATCAGTGTAGAGGTCACAAAGAAAATATGTTTTATGCATATTTTGTCATCAGATATTTGTTTCAAGTAGTGAAAATAAAACAAGGGGCAAGGGAAATGCATGTTTGTGTGTGGATTTCTTTTATAACCTTGTAGATCCACTCCCTTCCTTATTGCTTTCCTTATTGCTTTCTGGGTACACTGCCTCCCTCATTGCTCAGGGACGGGAAGCAGTCCTTGCATAGCTGTGGTCGGTTCGGAGCCTGCAGCAATCTGGGGTGCTGGTGGTTTGCACAAAGCCTCACACACAGTCATTCATTCCACACATACTTATTGGGTGCTCACTGTCTTCCAGGCACTGGGTCACAGGGTGAGCAGGACCCACCAGGATATTTATGGAACTTCACTGCTAGTTAGGGGCACATGGAGGAGAAAATACAGATAAAGAAGCATTGGTGGCTGAGAAAGCCAGTCTGTGAAGAATTTGTGGGAGAACCTTTCAGGCAGAAAGAACAGGGTGTGCAAGTTCTCTTACATGGTCTTGGTATGTTTTAGAATGGAGAGGATGGGCCAGTGAGCCTGACAAGGTGAGGAAGTTGTGTTGAGTGGTGGCATCGGGTGGGGAAGAGCCTCGTGGTCATGACAAGGGGTTTAGAGTTTGTTCTGATGACGGTAGGGAACCTTTGGTGGGATTAGGCAGGTGAGCCAAAGGAATCCACTTAGAAAAGTGATCTGAAATGGTGACTGGTAAGTTCATCTTCTGGCTTCCCAGGCGTGGTTGCCAGCGGCTCAGCTGTAACTGGAGAGAGTAAATCAACAGAACCGGCCTTAAGTCTGTTGTATTTAATGCTTTTGGTGAATTGATGATATAAGGGAATTATAAAAAACACTCATTAAATTTGAAAGTGACATGAGAGCAAATTCTTTATACATTCTTTAGAAGATTAACTAATGTAATTTTGAATTCTGTTCCTATTAGGGAAGATGGTGCCTCAAAGCAAGATGAAGTCAATAGGGACCAGTGTAAGGAAGAGAGTTTAGCATGATAAAGTCTGCAGAGATTGTTTAAAATGGAAAGGAAGACCCCAGAGTGGCAGAATAAAGAGACCTAGAAATCTCACAGTCTGATCCAGATATGAAAGAAATATGTGTGTATATGTGTGTGTATGAGAGGGACAAAAAAATGTTCGCTGGAATAAAAACCATTCCTTTTTTTTTTTTGAAAAGGAGTACAGGGTTCATGTTTCATGGACCATTTTTTTCTGTGTACTGCCTTAGGTTGTATTCGTTTATTTTACTTCTAGAAGGATGTGGAAAACAATAGTAGGAATTCAGAAGAGCACGCCAAAGAGAGTGAGGGTTGCACCAGCATCAGTTTGTGTGTGAGCTAGACAAAGGGAAGGCAGCAGTGATTTCAGTTGCACACAAGGAAGAACTTCTGCATTCAAGGTGAAAAACACATTCCGACGGGCTGTAAAAAATTTATGAACTCTCCTTGCCTAGGAATGGTGAAGAGGGAATTGCAGGCGTAGATAATCACAACCCTGGAGTCAGGGATCTGGGCCAACACCTCTTGAGGTCCCTTCCAGCAATATCTTTGTATGTGAAGGAAGTAAACTTGCAACGTGTAATTCCCCAAATTGTATACTATCATCTTTATGCATTTAAATTTTAACTGTAAATGTACTGGAGTTATATTCTTTAATTCTCAGGGACAATGGCATGTTTGTGTTCAGAGTCGCATTCTTTTGTTTAAAGAGTTAGAATTTTGAGCCTTGATATATTTTTGTTTAAAAGCCCCAGGCCACCTTCCATTTTTTTTTTTTTTTTCTGTTCATCTCTGAGAACAAAGTCCAGTGTTTCCTCTCCGGTTCTTGCGAGTAGCGTAGCTCACAAGATGCCAGCTGCAGAAGGAACTCTCTCGGGCTCATGCCGCTCAGGAATAATGAGCACAATGTAGCCCGGGCCCAGCTGCAGGGCGGGTGCACGGGACCCTCCGTCTTCACACAATAGTAGTTCTTTTTTCCTGACAGCGCTTATAACTTTGGGTTTGGGGAGGGAAAGAGGTGAGGGGAAGCAAAGGAGAGGGGGAGTTGAAAATGGGTTACTGCGAGTACCACTGAGACCCTCGCTCATCTCAGATTCCCCACTTCCCTCTGATCTGTATTCCCCGTGTGTCCTGACGGGGTTGCCTTGCCAGGCTATTCATGTTTCGGGCAGCTGGGTCTTTGTGTGTTCCTCTCTATTGCTGCCACTTTCTTTTTCTGGAGTGGAGTTATTTAACTGTACAACCCACTGCATCCCATTAGGGCTCTTGCTGGAGCGGTTTGGAGTATTAGACGCCCTGTCCGATTCTGCAGCAGCAATGATGGCTTGTCACACCTCTCTCCTACTGTCTAGCAGGGTGGAATCGTAGACGGCTTCTGCGTGTTGGCAAACATTTAATCATGGAAATCATGGAAATCACGGTAATCATGAAAAACCTACTGTGTGCATAGAGTCGTGGAGAAAGGAATCAAAGTAGGCGTTGTGGGTGAGGCAGCGTACAGCCAAGGGGATGGAATAAGACAGGTGTCCACAGAAATAAACCACAAGTGCTCCTGAGACTTGTGTGTGTGTCAGTACACCCTGGCGGGCAGATTCCTGGACCTTCGCCCCAGAGATTTGGATTCAAGCACTCAGCTTAGGGGTGGGGGGAAAGGAGCCTATGTTGAATATGCCATGTAATTTACATGAAGGGGAACCATGCTTGCAGCTTGAAGATCGGTGCCACACAGAGGTGTGTGATAAGAGCAATGTGAATGACATGAATGGACACGTCCCCTGGGAAGTGGGGGATGGGGTAGAATATGGTATTTGGGGCCTGACTTGCACTTGTGTGGTCAGAATGGATTCTCTACAGTGGGCCCGGCCAGGAGACCGACTTCTAGGGAAGAACCAAGCTTCTGGGATTACTGCGTGTACCTCCTCATCCTCCAGGGGAGGCTGTCCTGTTTTGCGTTGACTCACATCGAGGCCCACTCACGGAAGTGCTCAAAACCTTCACGAAGTAGAGATGATAATGATGATGACAATTATAAAGAGTTGTAATAAAAATACCAATGAAACAGAAATGGTGATACCAAAGAACATATGTTTATTAATACATGAAGTACTCATCTATGCACTTTCTGTGGTCTAGAAACACTTCATCCTCATGACAACTCAATGGTGTAAGTGCCATATGTAGCCCCACTTCACAGATGGGCTAGTTGAGGCATAGAGAAGTTCCCCAGCCTGCCCCAGGGTACCCTGTGAGTAGCTGGCGGAGCCCAGGTTTGAATTTCACTGGTCTGACTCCACAGCCTCTGCCCCCTCAGAAAATTCCACTGCTTCATAATGACCACTGAGGAGTTTCCGTTTCTGTCCACAGATAGCTTCTAAAATGGGCTGTGATTTTGAGCAAGTCCTGTCTTTCCTGTAGGCTCCAGTTTTCACACCCTTGATAGGCCGGAATTAGGGTTGGTCGATCTCATAGACTCTTTTATCCAAATGTCTAGGCCTCAAGGATTTACCTTGTTTAATTGGACTAGAATTTTATCTTTTCTTACAGAATTCAGGAAGCATGGGGAAAGTGTACTAAAGATACCATATAATTTTACCCCAGATATGCCATTCAGATTCTCAAATTTAGTTTATGGGAAAAAAAAAAAAACAGACAGACTAAAGTGAAAAGTCATATGCCTTATATTAATAAAAACTATGTATATAAAACAAGAACAAAATAACAGTGAGTTCCTGTATGGGTGTGTAGACACTGTACAAATCCCATTCCATTGAGACTGTTTCCAGTTTCATGGTGCTTACAGTTTAAGGCAACATAGTAGCAATGCTGTTATAAACTGATGGGTAATTGGGAGTTTAGCATGTAGCATATATCTTTAATTTAAAATATCTCATGGAGTTTGTGATTGACGATAATGTCTGAGTATAAGGATTTCCATAAGTTGCAGAAGGAAAGTAACTCAGAAGAGAATATCAAGGAAAGATGTGTAGGAAAAGGTACAAGAAGGATCATTAGCAGTTATTGACATGGGTCTCCTGTTGCGGCCTGAATCTGTCTGCCTTGATTATGGATTTATCTGGTTGTCTTTCCACTGTATCCTCTTAGTACCACTGGCAGGGCCAGGGCCTGAGGCAGGTCTTGCGGGATGGGCTCGAGGGGGGTGCTTCTCTTGGCACCAAGGCAACCATGGGCATCAGTGATGAACAGGGATAATTCAGCATGTGACATTTATTTCTGCTCCCCTCCCTTTCTGTCCCCTCCCTGATCAGGCTGGGGGTGTCCTTGTCTTCATTCTGCAGCCTGCTTTTTTAAAATATTATTTTATTTATTTTTTATTTTATTATTTTTTAAAAACTAG